AAATATATATAAGTATAGCCTTTAATATATTATAAACTGGTACAGCACTTAAATAGAAATGGGGAAATGTAGTAATTTCTTCACCATATTTAAAACTCGGAACAGTAATATATAACATAAATATGTAAATATTAAGGAGTCAGATTTATTGCGATAAGGTAGTAAATCTAAAAGGAAACAACCTAGATTATAAAATGTATGTCCCAAAAAGAATATATTATTAAGTGAACATAATCTACAACTTTTTTCACCTTTGGGTGGAAATATAATAGACAATCAGTCAGCGGGTTTAGTAATAATCATCTGATAATGGACATGTAACAATGCACTGAAATAAAATATCATCGAAAGATGATTCATTAAAGAAGTAGAGAAGATATACGGGTCTAAATAAAATACAGAATTATAAATAATATTAGAGATAATGTTATGGTAGCAGAATATATGATGATAAGAATCATAAAGAGAATGCTGGCTTGAGTAACGGTAGATAATAGAAGATTATCCTCCAATTCATAAGGGTTAAAAATAAAAATATGTAACAAACGGTCCCTAAGATGAAATTGAAAAATGAAGTTGATGGGAGAAAAAACAGGAAAAGGAAAATAAACCGTACTGTAGACCGACACTGGTATGAAAAAAGGAGAATGAGTGAACTATCATGAATGAACTCGGCAAATATAGTAAAAAGCTATGAATCGTGCGACTGTTTATCAAAAACATAGCTTACTGCAAACTAGAAATAGTAAGTAAAGTAAGTGATATCTGCCCGGTGTATAATTAATAAATTATAGATACTTATATAAGTTCTATTATAAAATATATATAAACGGCGGTCTTATCTTGAGGATCCGAAGGTAGCGAAATTCATTGACGCATAATTGGTGTCCTGCATGAATGATTATACGATGCGATAACTGTATCCATGATAGACTCAGTGAAATAGCAATCGCGGTTAAGATGCCGTGTACCCGTAGTTTGACAAGAAGACCCTATGCAGCTTTACTATATTTTTTCTTTGATATTTGTTTTCTAAATCTCAGCAGATTAGGTTCTATTTATAAATATATATTAATATAATATATATTTTTATATAAATAAAATGAAATACCTATATTTATTTAAACAAATCTTACTTATAAATATATTAGTAATACTAATATATAATCATATAGGGAAATCATTTCTCTTATGATATAAAGACATAGAAAATTGGTTAGTTTCGATGGGGCGTCGACATCAGAGAGAGCATCTGATGTGTCTAATTATATCTCATTCCTTGAGAAGAGAAAATATAAATATTATATATAATAAAATAAAATAAAACGTACAATATATCTATATTGAAAATAGAATAATATGTAAGGATAACAACATAATTGTGCGATGATAATGACACTAACAAGTGAAATTAGTACTTACGTAGAGTGTAGTGAACAGGCATAAACAATAGATATGGATGTCGACAACGGATTAAAGTTACGCTAGGGATAACAGGGTAATACCGCATTAGAGTACATATCGACAGCGGTGTTTGCCACCTCGATGTCGTCTAGACTCATCCTCCTGGCGTAGCAACTAGGAAGGGTAGGACTGTTCGTCCTTTAAGGAGTCACTTGAGATGGGTTAATTACGACGTGAGTCAGTAATGTTTTTATCATCTATGGGATTTAACTTATTTGAAGCCTTAGGTGTACGAAAGGATATTAAGGTGCTTTCCTATGGTTATATGTTTCAAATTATATAATAATTTGCACATTTATGCTAAGAAAGTTAAGGATACATATTGAACGAATATAAAATATTAAGCCTATCAATTAAGTATAACATATTAGATTAATATGTAATAGTAATATATATCATCTTGTGAATATTACTAATGAATTTATATCATATACCATTCATTACTTTATATCTTCCAGATATAAACCCCCCCCCCATAAAGGGGGGGTGGGTTAATATAGGACCCTAGGGATCATAGATTACCCCCATACGGGGAATACAAGCTATGATCCCTATTCAGGGATCATAGATTAATTGGTAAATCTTTCGCGTTGCATGCGAACAATATCGGTTCAATTCCGATTGATTCCAAAGTTTTATGTATTAATAATATAATTATATTCCCTTATAAATATAAAATGATATGATTAGACGTGCCAACACCTTGAGGTATGCGTTTTCAAGATGCAGCAACACCTAACCAAGAAGGTATACATGAATTATATGATAGTATAATGTTTAATTTATCAGTAATATTAGGATTAGTATCTTATATATTATATGTTATAATTAAAGATTATAAAGATAGACCTTTATACTATAAATACTTAAAACATGGACAAACATTAGAAATAATATGAACAATATTCCCAGGAGTAGTATTATTAATAATGGCATTTCCTAGTTTTATATTATTATATATAAATGATGAAGTATTAACACCTTCATTAACTATTAAAGTAGTAGGATTACAATGATATTGAAAATATGAATATTCTGATTTTGTAGGTAATACAGGAGAAACAATTGAATATGAATCATATGTTATACCAGAAGACATGTTAGAAGAAGGACAATTAAGATTATTAGATACTGATACATCAATAGTTGTACCTGTAGATACTCATATAAGATTTATTGTAACTGCTAATGATGTTATACATTCATTTGCATTACCATCATTAGGTATTAAAGTTGATGCTACACCTGGTCGTTTAAACCAAGTTAGTGCTTTAATAGAAAGAACTGGTGTATTTTATGGTCAATGTAGTGAATTATGTGGTGTTAACCATGGGTTAATGCCTATCAAACTAGAATGTGTACCTATTGGTGACTTTGTAGAATGATTAAATGAACAAGAAATTGTTTTATGTTTATGTAGCTTAATGGTAAAGCAATGTACTGTTAATACATTGATCTTGGTTCAATTCCAGGCTTAAACGTTTGTTTGTATAAACTTGTTATTTTATAATATATTTTTCAATATTTTCCTTTTGAATAGGAGGTTAATTTTTATAAGATTTTCTCTGTGAGATATATATTCTAATAAGGTTATGATGATATATTATAAATTATAAATTATAAAATAAATAAAATTATGAATTTAATTAGTGGTATAAGTAGTTTATTAGCTATAGGTATATTATCACCAGTACAAAGTATATTATTTTTAATATTATTATTTGTGAGTACAGCTATATGTTTATATAATCAAGGTTTTATATTAATGGGTATATTATATATATTAATATATGTAGGAGCAATAGCTATATTATTTTTATTTATATTATCATTATTAAAAATAGATTATACTGCACAAGGTACAGTATCACCATTAATAATAACATTATTAACTATAAGTTTAATACCTTTAGATATAACATATGAAACATATGGAATAATAACAGAAGTAAATAATGTATATAATGAATTAATTACAGTAGGTAATATATTATATACTGAATATGCTATATTATTAGGTGTAACAGGTGTTGTATTAATATTATCAGTTGTAGGGGCTATATCAATAACTAAAAACTAAATAATGATATTAAATATAATAGAATTATTAATATTATTTGTATCAATATTATTAGCAGTAGCTTTCTTAACAGTAGCAGAACGTAAAACATTAGCATATATGCAACGTAGGGTAGGTCCTAATGCAGTAGGTTATTATGGTTTATTAATGGCTATAGCTGATGCAGCTAAATTATTATTAAAAGAAATAGTTGTACCTACACATGCTGATAGAATAATATTATTCATAAGTCCTGTAATATCATTAGTATCTGCTTTATTATGTTGATCAGTAATACCTTTTGGTCCAGGAATAACTATAACTGATCATAATTATGGTTTTATATTAACATTAGCTATAAGTAGTATAGGTGTATTTGGTACATTATTAGCTGGTTGATCAGCAAATAGTAAATATTCATTATTAGGATCTATACGTTCTACTGCTCAATTAATTAGTTATGAATTAGTATTAACAACAATAGTATTATTATGTATATTATTAGCTGGATCTATGAATTTATCAAGATATGTTGAATTACAAGAATCAATATGATTAGGTATACCTTTATTACCATTATCAATAATATGATTTATAGGATGTGTTGCTGAATGTGCTAGACCTCCTTTTGATAATGTTGAAGCTGAATCTGAATTAGTATCAGGACATATGACTGAATATTCATCTTCTATATTTGTATTATTCTTCTTATCTGAATATGCTTCTATATTATTCCTTTCTACTTTAACTTCTATATTATTCTTTGGTGGTGGTACAGGTATTGTTTTAGGTATTAAAGCTAATATATTTGCTTTTACTTATATTTGAGTTAGAGCTGCTTTACCTAGAGTTAGATATGATAAATTAATTAATATGTGTTGAGTTATTTTCCTTCCTTTATTATTCGCTTTAGCTTTATTTATCCCTGCTCTATTATATCTTATTGATGCTTATATATTCATTGATTTATCCCTCAGAAATATCCTTTCTAGCAGTCAACATTACTAATTGCAAATATATATATATATCCCTCATATATTTTTTTTTAAATATAAAGGAGAAGAATTGTAAGTAAAGGTAACAAATTAAAAAAATAAAATGCAATTAGCATTAGCCGCAAAATACATAGGAGCATCAATAGCTACATTAGGATTAGGAGGAGCAGCAATAGGTATTGCTTTAGTATTCGTAGCATTAATAAATGGTACATCACGTAACCCATCATTACGTTCAACATTATTCCCACAAGCAATATTAGGATTTGCTTTAAGTGAAGCCTGTGGATTATTCTGTTTAATGGTTTCATTTATTTTATTATTTGCTGTTTAATTTATATTTCTAATATATTTAAACTATATTATCCTATATATCTTTAAATCATTTTAATCTTTTAAGATATAATATGTGAAAGATATTTATTTATTCATTGATATTATCCTATATATATATATACATATCCCTCATATATTTATAAAGAGAGAATGTCGTCTAATGGTAGGATAATTGCCTTTTAAGCAATCTATATTGGTTCGAATCCAATCATTCTCAATATATATATATATCCCTCATATATATTATTTTCTTATTTTTATATACCTGAGGGATAAATAGATGTATGAGAAATTCTTTAAATTTTAAAGGACTATCCTTCATAACTTCCTAGGTATATGAATATATATATTTTATATAGCAGCAAACTAAGCTTACTGCGGATTATTGATAAAGGATCATATTTTAGAGAGATATATATAAAGGGATAATAAGGTAAGCGGTAGTGATGAAATGGTAAACATAAGATGCTTAAACTATCTGGGCATAGGCCTTGTAGGTTCGAGTCCTACCTACCGCAAAGGGGAGGATCTAATGTTGGTAATTAGAGCTAAATTGTAACTTTAGTGCCGTAGTGCTTCGACTGTTCGATTCAGTCCCTCCTCAAGGTAACTATAGTTTAATGGTAGAACCATCGTATGTGGAACGATATATCTGAGTTCAATTCTCAGTAGTTATCCTTTAGTGGATAGGATCCTTTAGTGATAGGATCCTTTATGATGAATCCTTTGAAACTTAGGTAGTTCAATGGTAGAACAGATGCCTCATATGCATCAAGTGAAGGTTCAATTCCTTCCTTAGGTAGTAAAAGATATCTATATTTATACCTTTTCATTATTATATATTTATAGGGTTATGTTGTATAAGCTGACTAGGCACAGCGTCCGTTTTGTAATCGGAAGACGTGGGGTTCGAATCCTCAATACGACATTATATAATATATATCTTTATTTTCTAAAGTGAGGGATATATATTATACATTTTACCTTTATGGTAGTATTAAGGCCATATGGTCTAATGGTATGACAATACTCCTTCACAGTATAAATATGGGTTCAATTCCCGTTATGGCTATATCAATAACAGCCGCATAGCGGCTGATATACTACCATTATGATTATCCCTCACTATAGCAACCAGTATTTCTGGTTATTTAATTGACTGAATTGATTGATTTATCAATTTTATATAGCAGCAAACTTAGCTTGCTGCGGATTATGGGAGAGTAAAATTTAAGGATTGTTATCCTACCACTCTAAGGACGAATAAGTTAATGGTAAACCCGGACATTTCCAATGTCTTTATGCAGGTTCGATTCCTGTTTCGTTCAATGGACGAATAAGTTAATGGTAGACCCAGACATTTCCAATGTTTTTGTGCAGGTTCGATTCCTGTTTCGTTCATATATTATCGCAGCAAGCTTAGCTTGCTGCGTATAAGGGACATTGTTACTCATTGGTTGAGTGTACAAATTGCAAATTTGTCTCTTTAGGGTTCGATCCCCTCAATGTTCTTATTTGATCTCGTGTATCTTATTTCTTTTATCTTTGATGTTGATATTATAATTTCTATCTTACTTAATCACGGTTAAATATATCAGATTGTAGCGTAATTGGTAACGTATCTGCATTGGGTGTAGAACATTGGGGGTTCAAGTC